AATTCAATCGTCGCAGGTCGAAACAAAATTCGAACTTCACCTCTCGATCATCGCACCGTGTCAATTTCACGGCTGTGATTTGCATACTGTGCAAATCAGTATTCAACGATGTTTGGCGTTGACTTGAGAAAGGCCGATCTGAAATCAGAACAAAACGACACGAGTGGCCGAGGTGCGAGAGCTCAAAACATCTACAGCTCAGCTAGACAATTCCAACGCCTTGAGTCCAAACAAAATCGAAACTTACAATATAATTATTCATTTCAATCGTCGCAGCGTGTCAATTTCTCCGCTTACTTGCCTATTTTATCGAAGGGAAGTTTCATTCACAATTCACCATAAATTTTTATTGGTTTATATCACGCTCTTTCAATTGTCAACACTGCTGTATTTAGTTGTTTATCTTGCCTGCAAAAGTAAACATGTGTGCGATAAAGTTGCAAATTTTTCCACAAGTTGAGCCCTCAAAAATTGGCAACGACGGGCTTTCAAGCGTTCTGCTTGAAACTTTGCATATTTCTGGCGTTACATAGCCCCACAATAACTCCAATACGGAGAAAAAACACGGTTGAGGAAATATAACGCGGAAAAATGGGCGAGCGAAGCGAGCCGAGCTAACTTCGCTCGCCGTTTTTGTCACCGTGCATTGGTTCGGAGCGGCCCATACCCATCTAGGCCAAATGAGGAAGTGCCTGCATGACTTCCGTCAATACAGGGTATAATAGTGCTATACCGGTAAAAACGCGATTGCAATAATCTATTTTCAAGTTTCTCAAGTTACCTGAGATCAGGCACAATTTTTGTTTCGCCTTTTCAAAATGTGCTCGGCAATTTGATACCATGAGCCTAGTGTCACGTCCAAGCGTGACACACAACAAACATCATTGTCTGTCATTTTGTAGCTCATTGTATAGCCTGCGAACCGCAGACGCATTGTAGGGCTTATTTTAACTCATTTTAGCTCGTAGTAGGTCATTGTAGGCCATTGTAGGTCATTGTAGGTTATTCCTTGTTTTAGTAACTACGACACACGTCCCCTGATCTTTTTTTTTGTCTTTTTCTAAAATCTTCATTTTAGCTCATTACAGGGATTACACGTTCGGTCATAGTAGCTCATTGTAGGTCATTGTAGATCATTGTAGATCATTGTAGGTCATTGTAGGTCATTGTAGACCATTGTAGGTCATTCCTTGTTTTAGTAACTACGATTGATTCGCACGGCTCGGATGATGCTTTGCGTCGAAATGTTAATAGAAATGTTCGAACGGTGTTTTGCATCATTGAAATAGCTGAAGTCGTTAGTTCACTAGCGGAACTTGAATACAATCCATGACTTTATATCTGTCAAATCCACAGTAAAAGGAAGTTTGTGTAAATAAATGTTCGATCGACAGTGTGTAAACAAGGCGCTTATCGTAGCCTTTGTTCTCACAGCTTGTCTTTCGAATTCAACTTCCAGAAATTTTTTTTCGATTGCCTGTTTGTGAATGTTTACAAATTGACGACGATTTCTGTTTGTGTCCATCAAAGCGTTCGTGAAGGTGGCCGCGAGTATAACCAACATATCCTAAACAAAAATCGTCGTCAATTTGTAAACATTATCTTAACGAACATAACTCGGACGTACCACCTTTTCTCTCAGAACAATGCTCACTAAAGGTTCTAACAAATCTGATTGCCTAATTAAAGAGATGCTCTTTATAAGAAAACTCAAACCATCCCTAAACGTGCAGGCGGACTCGACTCACGCAAAGGTATTCACCTGAAGAACTTGTGATCCTTTGTTATTATGCTAATTTGTAGAGATTATAGAAATCAAATCTTCGCATTACTTATTCATTTTGCCTTGAGAATGGTGTCATGATGATACTGAAACGTTGGCTTTTAACGTTAATATTCGCTTGGTTATGTTTTAAGAAATCGTTATTGATCAAGAAAATAAATGAAGGGTACCATTTATCAAAAAACGGTATATGAAAGGGGTACCTTTTCTGTCCAAAATGGTATATAAAAGAGTAAGGGGTTGGACCATGTTACAGACTCCGTCACCCCCCCTCCTCATCCCTCTCTAAATTCTCCTATGGGCGGCCATTACCACCTAAAACACAATCATGTCAAATAGCACAGACAAAATGCAAATGGTCTAGTGATGAATTAGGAAATGGTTCAAATAATAAAGGAATGATGGTTCTTAAAATAAAAATAGTCGGGTTGTTTTGTGTGAAATGGTTCAGCTAAACTACAAACGATTTGGTCAGATGAGAATTAGGCTGTTTACTGGTACAGCTGTAGATGTTAAAACAATACCGCCAAACAAGAATAGGTTTGTTTAAATTATAATCCATTTATATACCACGTGCAAAATGATTCAACTTGATAACGAATGGTCGGCTTCTCTGTTTGTGATGGTTTGAGTAAAGTAAGAAGTCACTCAAACATTTACAAGAGGTTTGAGGCATGCGCAAATAATTCAATGTGACGTCAAATGATTTAATCGAGAGGCAAATGGTTTAAGGCATACGCAAATAATTCAATGTGATGTCGAATGATTGTCAAATGATTGTATAAATAAAGTTATCCTATCTATCCTTCTATCTGAGGGCTGGTCATTCATTTGATGTGAAGGGGCGGGGTAGCTATTTTGAGAAAGCTGAGATTATTTTAAAGCTTCCCCCCCAATTCATCGTAGCTTTTTAGAAATGACCCCAACTCATTCTCTCTTGCCCCCCATAAATTCTACATTTTGTGAATGTGACTCCCCCCACTCCACTGCATATTCTAGCTATAAATCGTGCTGAGGTTCACTGTGTAGTACCTTTTTCAATAAAATGATGACAGACAAATCCTGCTGTTTTATCCACGACAAAAATACAGGCATAAATAACAAAACAGAAAAGAGAAAAGCAACTTGAGGTTTCCTGATATTTCGGAAGTCGTGCGTGAGATTGACCTGCACTTGTGACCGTGACGTGTATTCTGTACCTGCCAAATTTCATGTTTCACCTTAAATTGTACCAGATCTGCTGGATTTACTTGATGATTTAAGCCATAAACTTCATCCTTTACCATAGTCTTAAATTTAAGCTTAAGTTTAACTTAAGCTACTTAAACAAAAGCTTACCTCACAAGATCTGCGCCAGATTTTTCACGACTTCCCCCATGACAGGTGCGAGAATTTTTAGTTCATGAATAAAGCCAAGTGTTGACGAGTAAGAAAAGAACTGCTGAAGCTCAAATCCGAGTTCTAGAAGTCTAATTATGTTACTTTTGATCTAATTTACTACACACGCGTTCTAATTCCCTGAATATTGGTTTCGTTTCGTTTCGTTTAGAACCCAGTCTCTCGATTGGCGCGTGCGTCTCGAGAGCGGGCTTTCGCAGTACTCGTAAAACGCGCTCAATGGTCCTCAATAGAGTCAGGAGAAAAATGGTTTTCATGCCTATTACTTGTCCATGACCTTTCGCGATTTATGGGTGAGGTAAATAGTAAATATTACTTCTAACAGTGACAAGTACTCTGAACTGAGTAATGAAACCAGCACAGTGTGGAATGGGAGTGCTGAAACCCATCTGAGATTATGGAACGCAAAATACGGTTCGCGCAAGCCCACGAATCGAATCACGATCTTTAATGTGAAAGTAATCCACTACAATTGTGAGCCTTTAAGTGAAATAGGCAGGCTATCTCTCATTAGCATTGAATTGAACCTATTCCAGGAGCTAGAGTCCGCGGTTCATTCAGTCAGACGGCTAAACCATGATGATTGGTTTGTCGCTGTGGACTTGCCAATATTTCATATTTTGATGATCCCTAATAAGCACGCCCTTGGGTCGAGACCGGGTGGTATCTTTGCCCATGGTTAGGTACTGGCCAGGGAAAGCAACTAGATACCTTCTGACCTTTTCCAGTAACGGGGTAGTTCCATCAAAATAATTGTACCATTGCGTGTGATACACGCGCGTTATTTTGATGAGGGCGCCGCGCAAAGAATAAACAAACAAAATAGTATTGGAAATTACCTTCATGGGAGGTGAATAAATTCCATTTTCCGCATTATTTTCAGGAGAACCTTAAGCAGCGACGTTTTAGAGCGACGCTCGTCAACCGGAAGTGGACTTTTTGCACTCTTGAACCGTGATTTTGAACAAATTTGGGGGCAAATCGTTTCTTTAAGAGCAAAAACAATTAGCAATACAAGGCAAATGTCAAGGCATATTAAATAGAAAAAGGCTTACTTCTGATTGACAAGCGTCGCTCAAAAAAATCGCTGCTTAAACACCCTATTAACTTCGAATGTGAGGACTATGAATGGGACTCCGATTGAGTAGTAATCACCGGAGTGAGATTGTTATTGTTTTTGATTTGTATGAAGGATGCGGGCGTGAATTTTTTAATAAAAATTCAGGGAAATGTAGTGACGTTCATCCCTAAAGGTTTGACAACCAGGTGTAAAAAGAATAGAAAGCGACATCAGGAGCCGATTCGGCTCCTGGCGACACATTAGGGAGCTTAAGCAACAACGTTTTTGAGCGACGCACGTCAACCGGAAGTGGCCTTTTTTCATTTTTTGACGGTGGTTTCGCGCAAATTTTCAGTCAAATCGCCTCTATGACAGTAACAAAGCTAAGGAATACAAATTTTATATCATCAAGGCATGTTAAGAGGGAAAATACCTCACTTCCGGTTGACGTGCGTCGCTCAAAAACGTCGCTGCTTAAGCTCCCTATTGAGTTAGGAGAATTCCCCCTGCCCAACTCCTGCCATGGTTTCATGAGGACAAAATGTAAAAAGCTCAGTTTCTCTAATATGTTTGCGAATCTCGTTTTCCTTACTTTCTGAAAAATATTGAAGGGTTTTTCTCTCCTCTCCACCATTACTGCGGCGTGGCACCGGGAGGCTGAGCCCGCAATACAAGGAACTAAGATCTGGAGAGGGTGTAAAATAAGAAACATTCGGTTGACTATAGTCTTCTTTTCTCATAGAAAACAGGCAAATATATGTTGAGAAAGCACTTCATTTAATTAATAAGTAATGTAGGATGCGTATTTACAGGCTGAAGTAATAAAAAATACCGGCAAGTAATGGAAATATCTGACTGAAAACAGGCAAACCAACCAATTAATCCTCTAACTACCATAGCGACAATTAGCTACAGACGGTTTTATCTCAGGCACACATGGTTCGTACAACTTCAGACAAACACATTTCCAAGGACTTTTCAAGGATTTTTCAAGGGCAAATTTCAGTTTTCAAGGACTAAGATTTATTTAATAAATCGACATTCTTTAACCCCCTCTGATCACCCTATTGGCAAAAACACGTCATGGAACCATTTACCTATTTTACGTCTTCGGCCATAATGGATCACGAAATTTCTACTACTTTGCCGCAACAAGGCTTTGCAAAATGACTGTGTATGACTCAGTTGCAATTGCATCTGAGGTACAGAAATAGCATTTGAAATAAAGAAACAGAAATATAATATTGTTCATGCACAAAATGTCTTTACGTTACCCGTGAGTTTTACAGGTTCTTACACCGAGGGATGAGGCAAATGTTCCTCGCCAAAATAATCTAATTTAACAGAAAAAAGTTGTCTGCCGTAAACAAGGTTGTGAATTTCAAGGACTTTTCAAGTCAAGTCCTAATAAAGAAATCAAGTACTTTTCAAGGACCTAAACCGAATTCAAGGACTTTTCAAGACGACTAGTAAAATTCAAGCCCTTTTCAAGATTGTACGGACCATGGGCACGGAAACAGACCTCATTCATTATTTCACTACGATACCCGTCATCTTTGCACGGCCTCTTTGCACGCCCTTTACTGCCGTGAGGATTGATCGGATAACAGCAATGTCACGTGGTATTTCAGGGGGTAAAACGGTCGAGTTTCTTTATTTTCTCAAAACGAAACGATGATGAAAAATGCACGGTTCGAGTTTCGTCAAGTTTTACGTCATTATTGATTGAAAGAATGACATGTCATTTTTCCCTGCGACCAATTAGGAGAGACCTTCCGAGCAGCTCCTACACTACTCCTTTTGTCCTGTGACCTGTGATCATGTGTTCTGTACCTACCACATCTACAGTCGCCACTGCATCCAAAGAGGTAACAATGATCATTTCCACCCAAAATTTGCCATTATCGTCTTTAAGATGAAAAATTGTAAATTTTCTGCGATCGCGCGACCGCGACCCTGAGAAACCACGTGACGTCGCTTTAACCCCGCCAGTCCTTAAGCGCGTGCAAAGATAGCAGGTTTTGTGGATAAGGTCTACTAAAAAAGCATGAAGGTTTTAAATGAAATGTAATAATTACTTCATTTTTTAAGTCCATTTTGCTAATAAGTCTAATTTCGCATAACTATTTTAAGATCTTTTAATGTGGTAGCACTTGTACCTGTGGTATAATCCCCTGTCCAACTTGATTCAGATTTGCGGCAGAGTGCTTTGGATTCAGGCCAGGAAAGAACATCACTGCAATTATTTATTATTTCCCTTTTGTGAGCTGGCTTTAAAAGCTCTTACTTATTTCAACTACCATCATTCCATCACTTATAAATCTTTTAACTTCTGTTTGTCTACATAATATCAGTGTAACGAACAAGTAAATACTTATTATTGGCTCTGCAGAAACTCTGTTTTTTCTTTCCATACGAAAAGTGGGATAAACTTTAACTCGGCAATCGAAACAGCACAGAGGTCACTGAGGTGACCATCTATTGGAGCCGAGCTCCTGTTTTCGCTCAATCGTTACTTTCAATGTTTCTTTTGCTTTCGTTGTCGTAGTTGTCTCAATTTCCTGACTTCCTGAAGTAGAATCGGGACTGTATATAGAACGATCAGCCTCAACATTATGAACAACAAAAAATCTGCACCTAAACTAGTTATTCTACCCGCGGGTCGTTCTCGTAAAATATCACAAATAATGTTCGTAGTCTTTTTTTACAGCTACGCAAAACCGCAGTGAAAGCAATTTTAATACATTGTATAGACTAAAGTATGCAATCTTACTGCCATTACTTCGTTGCACGCTTTTTTAGTAATTCCGAAAATAGAGACCTATGTATGCTGTTCAACCTGCAGTATTTATTTAACATTTAATTAAGCGGTTTACGTTACTCGATACTGTCAAACACAAAGGATCGTGGAACAGAAAATGACAAAATGACTTGAAATCCGCTAAAATGCGACCTCGTTCCTACAGGGCTAGATCTTAATTTTCAGTTCAATGGCAAAGCTTTGCTTGTAAAAATTTCTTCTACTAGCCAAAGCAGTTCAGAGGCTATTGTTTGTCTTCGAGGCCGAGAATCATCCCAAAAATGAGGGGTTTCTTAGACAGTCTAAAAGGATAAAGCTGAAAAAGCCGCCTTACTCACACCTAGTGGAACCGAGTAGAAATCACGGTGCCAAGCTGAAATGTACATTGTAATGATGTAAATAAAACAAATGAGCATTGATGACATGCCACCCGTTCCTCTCGTACAATCAGTCAATGTATGCATTGTTTTTTAGCCAACAAATGGTAAAGATTCTTTAACAACGATCATCTTTACTCTCAAATTTCCGCTCGAGAAATGCTTACTCGCCAATTTTTGCTAGAGGATTTTCTTTTGACAGGCAACTTCCGAAAACCACTCAGTTTGCGAGTGCTAATCTTGAGCCCTGTAATCCTGGGAGGCCTGCTTTGCGCAAGTGGTGACACACGATTCTTGAACGCTTCCGAGTTTTCTTCTGTTTTTGGGAAGTGGATTTGTCATGTTTTGTTCCAGTTTGCCACTCGAAAAATAATTTATTGAGCACCACGACTGTCTTAAATCTTTCAGTTAAAACGCAATTGGCCATCTCCGAGTTCCAAAAACTCTCACTTTCGAAACGAGGCAAAGTTCAAAACCTCTCTTGTGAAAATGAAGTTTATTTGTATATGAGAAGAAAAAAACATTTTCATATCAATGGCTTTACTCTTAGCCTCGCTTTGAAACAGAGGCTTGAGGCGACTGGAAAATGACCGATTGAAGACAAAAATCTGAAAATAGTCAAAATATTCTCAGGAGATTGTTTTCAAAAAGAAACTGCTGTTTTTCTAATTTAGTCGTCAAGGCTTGACAATTCTTAAGATTGCTGTCTAACTAGCACAGTAATTTACATGATAATACAGCAGGAACATCTCTTTCTCCTTGGAAACTCTGATGCCCTTTCATGGGTCTACAAAATAAAATCACAAACACAATCACACAACGTAGTTAACTATACGCAAATAAGGAAATACTCCGTTAAAAAGGCCTTGAAGCTTAAGTATTTCCAGCCTTAAGTTTAAAGATGCACCCGGTACGTCGGGGGAAACATATTACATGGAAGAATTTCGTTACGGTATTTCAGAATTCCAGGGGAATGAATTCAGTGTTCAGTTTTAAGTGTTGGAAATCATTGTAAGACTTGTAATGTAGAGGCCTTATTATAAACAAAAGCTTCGAGTGTGTTTGATCATCTCCGGCGGACAGAAACACTAAAAATCTTAATAATATTTTCGTTTAAGATGAAATACAATAAAATACAGTAAATAAATTTAAACAAAGTTAAACAAAATCCCTTCACAAAATCCAAACAATACTTAAAACCATCCACCTCCTTGAGGTAAATTTGGACGTGTACACATTTGAAAGCCTTCATTTAGGTACAATGGTATTACAGAACATGAACAAAGGATATTTTAAGTCAGCAACATAAAAAAGGGTGCCGGGTTGACAAAAACTTTGACAAGATGTACAAAATTCAAAACAGGCGGCACGTACCGACTGTGAAGATCATTAAATCAATACTCGGCCTAATAAGAAGTACAGTGTCTCATGGGCAAATTTAGCTGGGAAGTGTAAGTTCTCCTAAACGGGTTGAGATAATTACAAGGTGCAACACCCTTATATTAGTGACTGGACTTACTGCAAAACACTGTAACCATTCGAACTACCAGATGGAGAGTTATCGATCACTTCATCGGAGTTACGAGAACAAAACGAACTCCTTCTTTACATTATAGATAACGTGTCTGTTTCTACTTTCTTTACTGATCTACCAAATATTGAAAAACACTCTTTTTTCGAAAGTCTATAGGTCTACTTGGCACAAAATGTCAGTGATATCTTCCCCAAACAGCTTAAAAAGGGAATCAAGGTGGCGAGGAAATTAACAAAATACCTGTTTCCATGTCATGAGCGGGGATTAAACAGTAACACGAATTTTCGGAAGCGGGGATAGAAGCGGGGATTTAACATGAGTGACTGAAGGAAAAGCCTCGTTTCCCAAAGTTTTGTATGGCTGCAGAAGAGAGATGATGCCGCAGAGAATGACGATTTTAAAACATAGGAGAAACAGGGGCACAAAAAGGCACAGAACAGGTTGCCCTAGTCTCAAGACACAGAAAGAAAGTGTATGGAACGTCCTACACATGCCTTACAAGGACTTCACAAATCTCGCTTCCCAGGGGGTACTCTGGGTAATTCTCGGTGGGGGTGTGTCGCCTAGTTCTCCAAATCCTGACCCTATTTCAGACCAAAAACTGTCACTTTCCACACCCTTTTTCAGACCTGACCTCTAAAATCCACACCCGTTTTCAGACCTGACATTTAGGCAGAAATTATGTCTGAATTACAGTCAACCGGCCCTTTATAGCGGACACCATAGGGACTTCAAATTACGTTCCTCATCAGCGAGAGTCCGTAATAGCGGGAGTTTATTTAAGTCAAACGTTTGTAATTTGTTTTGCCGGGGAATTTACTTGCTGTCCGTATTATCGGGGCGTCCACAAGGCGAGAGTTGACTGTAGGTATATTGCTTATATAAGGAAGTACCCCCCCCCCCCGGGTTTCGCTTAAGATCCCTTGCCCTTACAAGTATACCATACAGAAGTTACTTTTTTGTGAGCGATCTAACCACATGTTTCTACACTGGCTCCAGAGGTCCGTCCTCAGAAATTAGATAAGAAACAAATCCTCGGGCACCCAGGGTAACATTTTTCATGAATTTGAAGGAACGCAATCGAGAGTTTCTATTAACAGGTCCGATAGTTTGAATTTTAAGAAATACAGAATACCAGATCGGACAGAGCGGTTGAAGTCGAGCCTGGAACTACACTTTACTAATTCCCTGCTATACGGGGCTTTTAACAAACTACCTGGCCCGGGGCGCGGGGAAATTAGCGGTGTTTTAACACCAAACCAATGTTAAATTCCCTGCTAAGTCCCGGGGATCGGGGGGCCGGAGTTTCAAATGACTGATGCATAAACTTAAACAAACGAAGCTGGTGACTAACCTGTTCCTGTTCAATCTCTTTTTAAGATATTGAATAAGCTCATTAATTTAACTGTAACCCGCATATAAGAACCTGCTTGATCTCGTTTGGCCAACCCGGTTCTTATATTGTTGGGTAATAAAGAAGCAAATTTCTTCCAGCAGGTTATTAAGCTACTAGGTTCTTACACGCGGGTTTTTACTGTATTTTAATACAGTAAAATAATAATAATAATAATAATAATAATAATAATTTTAATAAATACTGAGTTAATTTTTAAAAAAATTAACTCAGTATCACCAACTCGGAAATCCTCCGTAATGGAGACTTATAAATGAAGGCTCCTGAGCGTATTGATTATCTCTGACGGACAGAAAAAAAGAACTGTTCACACAGACACTGAAAGTCTTACTAATATTAATAAATAAACTTTCACAGAAATAGGTGAGTGATGACTAACCTGCTCCTGTTCATGCGCTGATTCAGGTGATGAATCAGGAAAGAGGTGAGGGTACTCGCTCTTCCAGTAGTTCTCTGATGGCCATTCATCCTCAGGTTTGGGGTTTCCTTCATGATCCTTCAACAAAATACAAAACAATACTTAAAACAACCCATCTCCCTTTAATAAAGTGTGGCCGTGTAAACATTTGAAAACCTTCATTTAAAGTACAATGCGATTACAGTGACCAACGAAAGACAATTATTGTTTATATGACAACAACTTTGACAAGATGTACTAAGTTCAAAACAAGCCTCGCGTGCCGAAAGCAAAGATCAGCAGTCGAAACTTGGCCTAAATAATAAAAGGCAGTCTGTGACTGCATGTGACTACTGTTTTAGTTTTGTAAAATATATTGCGATAAAAAAGGAGTGAAAATTGTAGGAAACGATAGTAATTCAGATTATTTATCCATATATATACTATCTTTGCTCTAGAAGGTATATATTGAACAAACAACAACAACAAAACAAGTAAGCAAACAAAACAAAAACGAAAACGAAACAAAAAAGAGAAAGACAGAAGGAAAAAAGAAAGGCTACTGAGCAGGATTCGAACCCGGCACCTTGTCAAAAATTATACGAGCACAAGGTTAATGTTTTAAAAACAACTGACAAACTATTTTTAAGCGTCTTTACAGTTATTTGCTGGGAGAAATTTTTCCAAGCGAAGATTTTGACTTCTCTTGCGTGATGATAAGGGATGTGGGGGAGGACCCTCTCTCTCCGGCGTTGCGTGACATAGAGAGAGAGAGAGGGGGGGCAGAACTGCACTAGACACACGATGGTTACGCCTTCTTTGTCTGGTATGTTGGTGTAGAGGCGAAGCGCTGAAGGTCAAAAAACGGCCTTTACGACTAAGTTCAAGAAACGAGTGTTGCCCGTCGTCAATTTTTAAACCAAGTTTAGGGAGGAGGGAGATTTACCTCTCCCCTCTCAGCGGGATTAGAAAGAGAAACATTATCTTTATCAAGGCGCACGTACAAGAAATTCGCATTCAAAATAATAGAATCAAAATCAACAATGGCAAATCTTTTTTATTTTCTTTTGGAAATATATTCAGAAATACAAAATTCGCAGATCACCGTGTATTTTTTTACGGGCGGGAATTTGTTACGTAATGAAACGAAAGGCGGGAAAATGTCATCACGTGAAAAATCATCCGAGGTGATTTAACCAATCAGCTGCCGCCACGTCACTAGGCTTTGAATAGCATCGTTTGTTGTTTTTGTAGTTTGTTCAGTTCGCTCTTCAACGGCAAACTGTTCAGGATGAACTCAAAATTTAATAAGAAAACATCAAGGAAATATTACACAAGACAGGGATTCATCTCTTTTTACTCAGGAATATGCTAAGGAGTTGTTCGAAGCTCAAGGAAACATCATTTATAAGGATATTTCACGAAAGCCCAAAGCTCCGCAGGATTTGATTTGTATGGCCACAGGTGGCCCAAGCGTAATATGAGAGTTTGTATGGGAAAAATAGAGTTTGAAACTTAGGTGAAATAAATGAAGTAAAAGCGATAAAAGTTCTTAATTAAGTGTAAATATTGTTACCTAGAGTCGTTGTCTTTGCTTTTACGAAGTTTCAGCGCGATTTGAGTACTTTTACAGCATCTGACCTGACAGTGTAATAAACTCTATTTTTCCCATACAAACTCTCATATTACGCTTGGGCCACCTGTGGTATGGCGAGTGTTCTTGGAAAATTGAAAACAAACTTTTATGCTATTTACGCGATGAAAATCATGCAATGGACACTTACGCTATACAGTGGAGAACAGCGAAGTGTTTACCTGCAAGGAAAATGTATTTTGGTGTTGCTTTCAACCGTCGTCTCGAAGATAGAATTTTTTTGGTGCGGGTTGTTATTTCAAAAACTAACGCTTCACCGAACTGCAAGGACCAGTATTTACCAAAGAAACGCTCAAGAACTAACCAGTAACAACAGAGCAGCTATAAAAAAGACTTGTTTGTTTTTTGGACTTTCAAAGGAACTTCACTTGACTTAACCTGATTTTATGGGAACCCTGGACGATAAATGTGAAAATGTGAGTGCAATGTGTTTACTCTTCACTTTTTTAATACCAAACTAAGCTCATTTGTTTGAATTGAACATGAACTGAACATCTTTCAATTACTTTTATGATTGTTGTTTGTTACGTTATGAAAAGTTATGAATTAAAATTGAGTCAGAAATTAATACTGTGGAAATTATATGCTTTTGTTTTGCTAAAACTTCTTGTTTTACTCAATAATATCATCTTATAGCTGCTTGCATGAAGAAACGAAATTTCTCTTTTTGTGTTCAACTCCATGTTTTAATATCAGCTAAAGTTACTTGTTCTTAACGTTCTCAGTTAAAACATTTTATGAAGTTAGTTTAATCAGTTGAAAGAAATGAATTTGAAATGATACTTTGAATCTGCTAAAGTTTGTGATTTGTTTTCAAAAGCAAATCGCGTGTTTTGTCGAGTATAAAAATGACAAAGAAAGGAAAATGGCGAAAGGCAAGAGCTGAGTAGAAATAAACTGTAAACAAAAAATAAAGAAACAAATCGCGTTAAAATTGGAAAACTTACGTGGTAGGATGAATCCAGTTTAGTGATACTTCCGTGCTGTACAGCTGATGAGAGATTCATCACCTGCTGTGAAGTCATCTTCACTCCGTAAAGCAGCAGTGTCTCCAGGTGAGGAGCGCAGCTGAGATGTTCTATCAAGCTGTCAACTCCTGCACCCAGGAGAGGATTGTCTGACATGCTGAGCAACTTCAAGTTTGGAAGATCTTGTTTGAATACTCTGCTGATGAACTCCACAGCAGGTGATGATATCGATGTTACATTGATAAGCTCGAGTATTAATCTCTCCAGTTTGTGTGTTATTGGGATGTTCCTCAGCAGAGACTCTGTTACCTCAGCATGCAACACTTCACCCTCTTCAACCCAAACCAGTATCACGTGTGGAGCGGTGATAAACGGCATCATGTCACTCAGTAGTTCTACTTCTGACCTGTTCACCCACCGAGCTTCAATCCTCCGAACCCTGGAGAGACCATGACGCTTTGAACAACAGCTGCTGCTGCTCTCTTCACCTAATTCACCACCATTCATGTTTGTCTTCTTTGTTGTCTTTTCTAAACTAACTAACGTCTTTACCATTTTAAAAGGAAGAGAAAAGCCATCATATTGACTATTCACAATTTTATAGAAATAAAGGCGAGTGTTGTTTTCTTCTTTCACTAACAAAAACTCGTCAACACTACGCCATGGAAATACATTCAAAAATTCTGATGCTTTTTGTTCTCCTGTTCTACTAACTATAACAGCGTTTAATTGCTGTACTAATCTAATTAAATTATTATAACTTTGCTCTGTGTACTGGTCGCTTTCAGAGAAAAATATGTACATAAGTGAAGCGGAAGTTTTAACAAAATTTTCCTTTGCTGCAATATTCAGCTGGTCAGGATTTAAAATGAACAAAACACCTCCTAGATTAGAAAGATAAGTGGTGTAAAGTTCTGTTCTCGTGTCTGCTGAACAGCAGAAGAATAACTGTGTACATAGCGTTAGAAGATTTTTTTGTTCATTAGACAAATCTTCGACTGACGGTGCTTGGTTGTCGAAGCTGTACTCTCCGTCTTCCTTCGCCGCCATTCCCAACAGATGAATCAAGATCTTACGCGCGGCTTCTTCGGACATTTCAGCAACAAATTTAAAAACTTCATCCAACTTAAAGATCTTTTCAATTGAGTCGACCTTGAAAAGGGAATTGTTTTTACTTTCTTGAGATAACAGTTCTTCTTTTAGAAATAATGAAGCTACAAACTCCTGCATTGATTTGTGAATGAAGTGAACGTCTTTGCAGGGGTTAAGAGCGCACACGTTTAGCAGCTGAAACAACCCGGCCTCGATGAGTTTCTCAATCAAAACGCGATCCGGCAGTTTACTGAGAGGAAAGTAAAGTAAATCTTGTAGAAGTGCGTCAAATGCTAGTTCTCCTACTTTACAAAGTTCTCTAATGTGGTTCTCAACTTTTTCCGCCTCCGTTTTTTGTTTTTCAGACATATGATTAAACATAGTCTGTAGAAACTTGAAGTACACCATCACCCGTGATGAAGGTAGTCCTTCACGATCCTTTTCTTTCCAAACCAACAACAACATTAAAAGCAAAATAGGTATTTTTGCTACATCTTTCAGGTCTTTTTGCTCCAAGTATTCAAAAAACTCTTCAATATCTTGACCATCTTTCAAGAATCTACGGGCGAAATATCTTTGTTGCATACGATCAAAACCGTCGATCTCAAATTGAGCATCGCTGGAACTTTTCAATCCCTCTCCTTTCATGTCTCTAGACGTTATAATAACACAACAATCCCTCAACTGCTTTTTCTCCCAGATTTGAAGAACAGGTGATTGGCTTGCTGCACTGTGTACATATTCATCATAGCCGTCCAAAATAAGCAACACTTTTTCTTGGTGGTGACGAACGTAATCGTACAGGTTGTCAGTGGAAATTGGGCCATCACTTGCAAGAAGATTAGCAGCGCTCAGAACGGCTGGGACATCGTTGAGGTTACAAACATCGCGTAATTTGACCAAAAGTACGAGATCAAATCTTCCTAACTTTCCTTCAAATCTCTGCTGGGACCAGTCGAATGTAGCTTTCTGCGTAAAAACGGTCTTGCCGATACCTGGTCGTCCGTGAACCAAAATACGCTTAGGCAAATGATGAAGTCTTCCGCCGTCAAAAATGTTGGTATAGTGTTCAAGCTCCTTCTGTGTTACTCCGCTGGGATCCTTCAAATCCATGAGCCAAGACAACTGGGTGTAAACTTTGTCAATGTGAACGGCAGAGCTTTGGTCCCACGGAACGATTTTGACTGTGCTGTTGCGTTCATAAATTGACCGCAGCTGTTTCTGGCACTCCTCGAGGCAGAGAGAATCTGTTGAAGAAAATTTTACATTCCTTTTCTTTTAAAGAATTGTTCATTAACGACTTGATATCTTAATAGGCGAGGAAAGTTAAAGGGGGGTAGTTGACGCACAAAATATAGGCCCTTATTTATATAAACTGATCAGATCATTAAATATCAATAAAATTTCCATATTTAAAAAAGCAAATTATCCTCAACTCATGATACACCAACAGAAATGCAAGTAACAGTGCATGTAGATATCAGGGCTCTAAAACACCAGAATATAGTGTAAGAATATAAATACTATGATCAAACTTAGAAGGAATGCTATTTATTAATTCAATTTATTAATTCATTTATCTATTCAATTTTCTTCTTTTTCACCGCTTACACACTGACTTTAATTGGATGGGGAGCTTACTAGAAAATCTAACAGTATATTTCGCTTCCCAGCTCGCACTTATTATTTCTCCTATATTATAAAGTTATAACCTAGCACAAATTTCAGTTATAAAAAAGTTGAAAATGTAATTTCACCGTGAGCTAAATAAAGAATTACTAATTATTTACAATTACAAATTATGAATGCGGCGGGATGGGCAACCTTGGCCGAGTAACATTTATATGTAAATGTCTTTGAAGACTGCATCAGTAAAGCAAGTGTAAAGGGGCGTTACCCCACAAAGAGAGGTTCAGGGAGGAGACACCAAGAGAGGGCTACCTCTCCAAAGCTGTTAGTGACATTTGTGGTTGAGTGCTAAAAATAATTCTTATTTTTTATAACTGGCCTAGAGGATTAACGCAGGTTAAAAATACCTTAGCAAAATGCTAACAGAAAAATTAAACGAGGAGAAGAATTTGACGCTTAAAAGTATCACATCATACTTCTTCTTTGCTGAAATAAATATAAACAACTGCGACAATAAAGATCACTTTGTATTGCAACATAACAAATGATAAAAGTCATTTTCATATTCAAGCAAGCGTTTTTAATCTACTGTATGTCTGGTACCATTTCTGCTTTATTGATATAATATAGTACCTGGTAACTCCTCCTTAGTGGCTGTAGAGCAAGAGGGCTGTTTCCTTGCTGACAGGTCTGTGAGTTAAACAAAATAGAATAAAAATTGAAGTGAGACATTAAAAACAACAGTTATTCAGAAGTATTTGGGGATGTTCATCAATCTGTCAGTTTTTTTACTACTCACATTTTAGTTTCTGGGTCTGAATAATAAAGTTTCAATAACAAAAAGCACTGAGCAGCTTGTCTTGGGACTGAAAGCTTACATCTTAGCTTTTACTGTTAAATTGTGGGTGATACTGACATTTTAATTCACTAAATGATGTCTTGTCGCAGTGTGCACAATTTTAGACAACAAATTTATGTTTTAAACTTGGTTATGCAGGATTTCAGCTGCACACTGAGTTGATTCTGAAAGCCATCTAATCATGTAATAAGCAGTTGCAGTTCAAAAATATTTTCAAAACAGGAAAAAAATATATATATATATATATTTCCTGGACCTTTGCAACCAATCAGAGGGTAGAGTTCTAGAATGATCTAAAACCAGAACATTAAGCCAATGGAGCAGAGAGCTTACTGCTTAGAGTTCAAGGCTGTCACTGTGGTTTCAAGTTTCAGAGTACGGAATAGAACATCCTGGAAATTCTTTCGGTCCTATTTTCCTTTTATTCCCTATGAATAAAGTAACCACGGATCATGCTCATAGCAGCCAGGGGAAATCCACACCTCCCGGCCCTTAGTGACAGCCCTGTAAAGTTGGTTGCTAGTGTCATCAGGGCATGGTGGGGGGAGGGGGGGAGAAGGATATACTACCCTATTAAACAACTGTGGTGCTGGTCAAATAAAAAATTCCAAAGTATCCCCGCAAGGTATCGGAATCTTGCTTTGTCAGCATGGAAGAAATTCATTTTAAGCTCTATAAGAGGTACCAAAAAGAGGAGGAGATACTTCCCTGCTGTGAACCTTGAAGAATTAATAGATAGAAGACAAAGTTTAGTAGCTGGTTACTGTCAGGGAGCTGTTGTGATTCTCATATACAATGAATTAGTAATCTCTTTTTGACCTGTATCAAAACTTGTACTTGGGCCAGCTTGCTCATCCCTTTGAGATATAGAAGGACCTTGAAATACAACAACAAATAATTAGTCATTTCACCAGTGTCTTGTTCATTTAAAGATCCTGATCTTCCAGCTGTACAACCTCTAGCTCGACAGAAGAGTAACTGGGCAGTGGATCAGCTCCCCAAAGGGGAAAGAAACACTCCACCTCAGACTTACAAAGACTCTCCTAAAAACCCTCGTAGGTATTATTTACGTGGAATATTGTTCTTAATCTCCAAGAATATCTACATGAAACATAAATTAATGTCAAAATATTATTTTACAACTTTTTTACCTTGGTTTTTTGGTTTATATGTCTCGAATAGCTCTGCAGTACTTTTTTTTATCTTGTTCCGAAGAGTATCTCCTTTCTTCTTAGAACGATCTTTATCCATTCTACAATTAAACCAAGATCAAAATTTATGCATCAGAAAATAGTAGTTTAGTGGATTGAGCTGCTTAACTTTGCCGACACTTAATGCAGTTGTGTACTACAGAAAGCCTGAAAAAATCAGGCTTACCAGGATTAAAACGCTGACCTTAGGATACCAGTGCAGTGATCTAACCAATTGAGCTGGCAAGCCAACTGAGGGCTGGTCATTATCACATATCGGTTCCTAATTAATATACGCTGTGTCTGGAAGCCTAAATATTATTTTTCAGGCATTTCTTTTGCCACTGCATAAGTTGCATCTTTAAATGCGATGATCTTCATTTCTTTATTCCGTGGTCCCAATAATATGAAATTCAGATATTCATTTCACCTTCCTTGTTCCCAGGTAATATTACACAACAATGCAGTTTACTGACTTAACACAAACACAGGCACGTTCAACGTGCATGAGCTATTTTGAACGCTTCAGCTCCAGTCGTAACTATATGACTAGTTTTTTGTGCAAAATTGGGTATTGCTGTACATGAATGAAAACGCTCAGCTGAGTTGATCCTCATGCTATATATTCACTTTCCTCTGTCTTTCCTTGATACATCTGGTGCAAGTTAAACAATATTATTATTGTTTAAGTACAAAAAATATCAACTCACCAAACATTGATTAGAAGGAAAACTCAAAGGTTTCTCTGGAGTTTCTTAAGAACATGTGGCAATGGAATAGCGAATAGTTACGAAATATCAGGATTTTTATCATTGTGGTAGATGGTTGCATCATCATAATTCACGAGGTTTTTACATGTGATTCTACTCATTGAGACAGTCTAACTCTGACGACTTAATTCTGCATGTTTTAAAAACTATTGCTTCTTAAAAGACAAGAACTTTAACTTAAGGAATTGGTTACAAAATGAAACAGGTCTTTATACGTTCAAGTTACTATTATTACTGCGAAAAGCCAGCATGAGATGGGCAGTCACACAGCTGCCACGTGAAAGTGTTGGACTTTGCCCCCTTTTGTGGTTTGTACATGAGGGAATTCAAGTTATCACACAGTAATGTAGTAAACAGGATTATAGGTTATAAAAACTTCTCATGCACACAAATTGCACATGAAGATTGCCCCTTTTACAATTTGTACAAGAAAGAACACATATTGTTTATGAGATTACTTTGCTCAAATGATTTTAACAAAACACCTCCTTTTCTAACATCCACAAATATATAATTATACATCATTCAATGTTAAGATTGATACCCTAACATCATTACAGAATTGTCCAATTGGAACTTATGTTATTCCACTCAGTGAAACAATCTCTAATTATTACTTCGTCAACTGGCTACTTCCAAGTTTAAACGCCACATTTGATCCGTTTGTATAGGAACACTGACAATAAATAATATGCCTTAGTGCACTTCTTCTCAATGACTTCAAATTTTCTCAACAATGCTTGCACAAAAACACAAAATATGGTGTTTAAAACTTCCAAAATGGACCAAATAGCTCTTGAATACTGATATAATAGCTTTCTCGGGCATCTCAGAGTCGATGGAAGAGGATTTTTTCACGAAAAGCAAATCTTGAAAAAAGGTTCACCAGACCAGAAATCAAGACACCGCACATGCACAAAAGCATGTCACAGTCCTTTTAAAGTCAATATCTAAATACCAAATAAATATATTAACATTTCATTTGTAGACCTAAAAAATATGATTTTTATCCTTCACTTTGGAGCGGGTGAAACATAATTCACGTAAGTTGTGCCGTTCGCAATAGCCGAGTTGGGTCATAAATGTCTTGAACCAGCAGCCACACTAAAATGTGAACTATTAAACAGCTGCATCACAGTACTCAGCATTTAAATCATGAAGATATTTCTAAACACCTTTAGCCGTAACAAGAGATGACCAAATTGTGAAGAACCAAAATGGCAGTCTCAATAAAGTGCCCTTGTTTGACCTTTAGTGCAGCAATGTCATGTTTGGATGCCAAAATCTCATTGGTTCCTAAGCATAACCCCATAGTACCTTCAACCTTATAGGCCCCTGCAAAACACATCTAAACAGACAAAGCCACAAAGCCACAAGAATACATACGCTTAGGCCACTGACATGTTTACCTGACTACCGGTATTCAAATTTATTACAAAATTCATATTCTCTATGATCAGCAATATGGTTTTTGCAGCAAACACGGTACTCAACATGCAAAGCTCGACATGGTGAATACCAGTACCATACTCTGTAACGCGCTGGTCAAAAACATATAAACTACTTAACATTGGCATGACAGTTTGCTTTAATGGCTGTCAAACTTCAAATGTCTGGCACCCTTCTATTAGAACGTTTTTGACCAGCATATTCCGTTCATATTTCATTTTTCTCAACTGCCAGGCATATTTATTGCTCAGAAACAGCACACTTGCCTCTAGAAATTATTCTTAATGCCTAAAAATACTTGCTAAGAATATTTTGTTGAGCGAAAACAAATCAAGTCGATAACAGCTGCCTTCTCCAAACTTCAAATGTTTGGCGGCAAAACATGTCATTCTTGCACCCAATTAGAACATGTTTTTTCCTCGCGTGTACACGCTTACATGCAACTGACAGTAAGTGAGAATAAGTTACAAGATACTTGCATTTCTTCCCCATCCCATTACCTTATACTTATGGTTATTTGCTTCGAACTCCCAATAACTCAAACTGTTTTCGATTTCCTTCGAAGGTTCGAGTTATTGGGAGTCAACTGTATGATGGGTGCAAATTTAATACCACCCTCTTAAAGTATCCTTTGCCAATTTAGGCTCAACGACAATTATTTCTTCAACTCGTACAGCTAAAATAAAATAATTCAAAAAAAACCCAATGTAGCACTTGCACTCTTGCATGTTGAGGTATGTTTTCTCTCTATGCTACACTCAGTAACAATCTTTTACTTAGTCATCATGTACTGTTTCCTTAGAGGTTGTTGCCAAGTTTACAAAACCTAAAGCAAAAGTTATTTCTTTAATAACATTGACATTATTTTTCGTCATGTTTTACGTATCTCCATCACTGAGAATTTGTTCAATTTTTGTTGCAATTACTTAACAAGAGTATACTAGAATTTGGTGCCAGCAGAATTAGTTTTTTAAATTCAACTTTGTGAATAAGCATTCAGTGAAAATGTAGTACAGTAAAACTAGTTTATTCTGCAACATGTGCTACGCAAGTGTAAAGTATAAATGAGTCAAATGAGTCCTGGGATACTGCTAACAAACAGCCCAGGTTGATATTTCATGTCAGAAATAGGCCTTGCATGTGCAGGCAGCAATGAAGTAAGTACACAAAATAAATAAAAGTAATGCCTAATTTTATTGTTTCTACCAAAACTTTAATTTTTTTCACCTAACTCATTGACTCATGACTCATTTACTCATTTGACTCATAAAACATCTGTTCTCGTGCTTCTCACTAAGTTTATTTTAAACATTTTTCAATATTTTGCTGTTCCACAACAAGGAGCATCTCAACTTCATTTTTAACATCAGCAAACTAGCTGTGGACCAAAATCTCTAATAACTTTCCCTGCCAGCAAATCCCCAGGATATTTTTGAGGACTAACAAAAGCGAAGTCTTTCATTCTACTTGCATTGTATAACACATCACATAAAAGAGAACTCAGACTGTAGAGAAATACCATTTTAGATTGGTATTGTAAGAGAATACCTTTGTTTGTTAAAATGAAATTAATTCCATCAGTAGTCTTTCAGTCCAAGTCATACCAACTGTCTTGGTCAGCCATGCAGTTTAACTGAAAAAAATGGCAAAAAGTAAGGCAAGTTATGGGGTGGGCTGGGGATTTGATTGTGTGTTGGAACTGGGGTGGGGCATTAGAATGATCTTGTTCTCCCGGGGGAGGGGATATTTGAAACTTTCTTTGTTCAATGTGCAAAGAAAGATTGAATTGCTGTATCAAATTAAACAGAAGCTCTATTTTCAAAACAGAAAACTCCATCAGATTAAAAACATTCAAAGAGGTTTAATTTTGCCTTTAAAGGCCCATTGCTAACCTTGATGCATTGTGCCAGAAAACAGAGTTCCCTGACTTTAAAAAATTTTCATTTTTCCCTGACTGTAGCAACCCTGATAAAACTTATCAGCTCTAGGAAATTTGTCTGCATTTGACTGGAATGATTTGCCTGTGGGCAGGGAATTTGACGACAAATTTTGGAAAAATGTCAAATCTCCACACCATGCCCTGCCTCCCTGCCCCCCAACACTCCCTTTACATTGATAGGTAATGTGGTCCCTTTTCAACTTACCGTTACTCGGGGTAGGGATATTTGGCCACAAATGGTATATTTTTGTCTGGGATTAACCGTAATTCGAATTTTAATAAATTTCGACTTACACATTATCAGGAAGTAACAAATCGATATTTTCGATACTCGATTAAAATCAATAGTAATCAATAATTTATCGATTAATATCGAAAATCGATGGAAATCGATCGGTCGAGTTTTTGTGATTATCGATTTCTGCGATTAAACAATTGACTTTATCAATTTTGATTGAAAAATATCGAAAAGATAAAAAATGTGCGAGGCCAAGTTGGTTGATTCGTTTTCCTGTTGTGTTTAGTCCATCATCACTCGCTAGAACTGATAAACAGCAACTCGAAAATGATATTAAAGTCAATAAACATATCCATAACACTTTCTTCACTTTATTGATATCAACCCTACGAATTTGTATGTCACTACAGGGTACTCAGGGGTACTGCATGCGCTCAAATCGATAGGAAACACAACCATAAGAGCAATAATGTAACGTGACTCGTGTCATTTTCTGCCACGATGTCATGCTCCTTTCAACAAATCTTAGTTCTACCACTCAATAAGTCAACAGCCGTACCGCTCGCTAGTTCAGCTTCAAATGGAAAAAAAATGGGGAAATCCAGCCAAATTTGTGATCATCGATTTTTATCGATTATTATAACTAATCAATTGAGAAATATCGAGTATTACCGAGTACTACGTAAAAAGGTCTGCATTAACTGGTGTTTAACAACAAGTGGGTAATTCACATTAATTGTAGAAAAAGAAAGAATACAGGCTTCTAAAAAAAGACTTCCTCTTAGAATGAACATTTCTAGATCCATAGTAAGCAAAAACAGCTGCGTTTACTGAGGTCAAGAAGCTTACCTAACGTTGATTCAGTGTAGTCCATTGTTCAATTATGAAGAAGCTTCAAAAGCCTGGAATAAACAATGACCACATTGATCAACTTTTGAAGATGAAACATTACCTTTTAACATTACCTTTTGAATACAATTAAGCTAGGAAACTGGAAAAAAAAGCTAACTGACCTCGCAATTCATTGCGGAGAAGAAGCTGCCAGAAAAATTGTCACACGTACTTTCACTCTTAGGTCCCAGTACTTTGCTCGGTTGATCTGCAAAAAGATTGGAATGCGATAAGGGAAAACTGAATGAGGAAATTGGATCGAATTATGTCAATTATCGGGAGAAGCGATAAATAGGTCAGTACAATTTCTATGGTATCAATAAGAGTAGTATCAGAGTTATCACTTTTTATCTAAATATTATATGACTAAATATCCGTAAAATTTAGCTCTATTGGCGGAAGATTTTATGGATCATGTGGGTATTGAAAAACACTGAATGCGTCATGTTGATTCTTTAGATGATTCTCTTCCCTTAAGCTGCTCATAAAATGGGTAAGTTAACCTTTTCGATCAAAAATCTACAGCTGAAGGAAAAAAGGTTGACAAGTACAAACCTCTTGACTTTCCAGGAGCAAATGTCTAATGTAGAGAAAAAAAGGGACAGAAGAACTGATAAGTAAAGATAAGTAAGGGGGATCTGGGGATACTGTCATATATGAGCTGAATTCTATGAGGAAAATACTCAGTTTATCATTTTTTTTTTATGGACAGATCGCACCAATTCGCAACGAAGAATTATATAAACAGTCTTTCCTGAGTTCCTCGGGAAATAGTTCTAACTCAGTTCATGTAGCTAAACGGCTTCAACAAGTTTCAACAGTGGCTCAATAAGAATGAATCCTTCTTTAATTCACACTTCTTTGTCGAAAAACAGGGAAAAAAAGATTGACCAATCACTATGATTGGAAGATAAACAGCAGAACTTTGTGTTTAGCGACAATTGTAAAAACGCATTAATCTACCAAGAATGAGTCCAGAATCACGCGATCTAAATTTGCCAAAAAAAGGGACGCAAAAGTGACAATATGTTTTCAGTAGTTAAAAAAAGTTCCAGCTTTGTTGATTTGCGCTTAAAACGAGAAAGAAGTCTGTTAAAGACTAAGAACATTATTTAAGACTTCTTGAAAGACTTGGACGTTCACGACGGTCACCGATCTTCAGCTGATAATTTTTAGTTTACTGATCATCTTTTCACACAAAAATTCCTTTGCAGTTTGAAGTTAATGATTTCGAGAAGGAGCTTCGTATGCAATGTTGGCTTAATATAACAGAATCAGTTTTATGTTAGTAATTCACCTTCATTTCGTTATCATTAATGTCGCGATTTACCCCTAAAGCGTACACTGCAGATAGTATCTAGTGACAAAAGAAGCCACAAATAGAGAAGTAATTCCTTGGCGTTTATTCTCTTATTATTCATTTGTGCCTTGAACTTTAAATTTTTTAAAGTGAACATTCTAGTTTCAGAAAGTCTGCTTACCGGCGTCACTGGGCGATCCAAATATATGGCTAACAGAAATGAGGAATGGGTACATCAAGAACCAGCGATAATACCAAGATACCCGATTTCTCATTCTTTGATTTAAGACAAATTAAGACTTGGAAAACCGAACATTTAGCATGGCATTGAAGTTCTTTCCGATCTGCCTCGGAAGTGAGACATATGTAGAAGAAGATGACTTGAGGGAAAGCGTAATTATATTTACATCGAATGGCGTCAAAGTCTGGGCCGGAATCACGCGATATTTTGCAGAGAAACAAGAATCATTCTTGTACACATAATGTAATGTTATGCTAAGGAGGAAAGAGTAATTTTAAGTCACGCACTTTTCAGGTGTTGGCCAGTGGGGGTAGCAGCGTATCATTACACCCATAAGAATTCACCGTAATACCTCAAGTTCTCCCAAACACCCGACAGCAATAGGAAACGTAGTACGGCACGATACACTTGTTTTGTTTTTTGATCATGGCAAATGCCATCTAGCTTATCCTACATAAAACATAACACAAACCTGTTTATGAAGTGCGACTACGGGCTGAAGAAAATGAAGTGAATGACGATAAGTCCCTTAACGAGATTCTTTCCTGTGAAATAAGCAACATGGTTGTAAGGCATTCTGAAGTATTACCGCTGTGACCTCTGTCTTAAAAGGGGAATCATATCGTTGATTTTGTGGATTTTATTACAACAACAGAAATGACAATCATCACAATCGAGTGACAGGGAATTTTACCAGAAAAATGCGCAATCTTTATAACTAAGCAGCCAGATAAGGGTCGGAGCGGGAGGGGGGGATACTCTCTCTCTCAGGTATATGAATCTCCAACAGGGTATGACAGTTGACTTACATGTAAGCCTTTTAGGCTTTTGTGAATTATTTGTGAAAATGGGAGTAGATTTTAAATATTTTGATCTTTTAAAGGGAATGGCTTACTCTAAAATTAAGTATGTAACCACAACATTTCTCTTCTATTCAACATCTCCTGAGAAGAAGTTGACTGTGATTAAACTGAAGCTCTTCTGCAAAGTGGTAACAAATCAACCAGCTACTGAAAATCTAAGAAAATGCATCAACATGCTTTCACTTTATCAGTACGGCACAAAATAAGGCAAATAATTCTGCGTCAGGTCTGAAAGATAGTGGGAAAAATAAAACATGATTCGGTTAGAAACAGGGAAGAGTCGCACGAAACAGACCCCACACCACCTCCCACAGTTTTCAAGAGTATCCCCCCGGTCTCTACTATAGTGTAAGCAGATATGCTCACTTGCTCTTACGAGTTTCACTCTGTTATCATGTGAACAATTCACTAGGCCTTTTATTTCAAAGAGGGGACATATCAACTTAAAGACAAAGACATGATTGTGTCTGTGCATATGCACAAAGTAGACTAAGAGGTCAAGTCATGTATCGCTTTCATAAATTGCATCCAGTATGTTCACGTGTTACTTTTTAAGCCTGTATTAAAGATATTTCTTCACAGAAAGCTGTTTTGCAGCTTGAACTTAAGTGTAATACGTGAAGAAACTAAAAGTGAAAAAGAAAATAAGTGAACAGGCAGGCGTTTTGGCATTGCATTGAGATTGGGCATTAACTTTAATGAGTCATGGGTTGAGCTGTCATTTTGTGAAGGGCTCTTTGAAAAGGTCTCTTTAAATTCAGAAGTCATGCGATGTTATCTGAGAACCACACATGAAAAACATTTGTATAGTATTTCGATAACATTGTTTGTCAAAATTATAGTTTCGTTCGCTAATGCCGCACTTCAGTTAGTTCAGTAGTGCCTGCACTGCAAACAAACTGGGGGCCGGTCCATTCAACATCTGTTTACGAGAAAATTGCAGTTTGATTTGTAACGATAATTTTTTAAATAGGGTTTATACTTTTACTTTCATAGTACAGAGACGCTGATTTTGATATTAGATCTAAAATGTTTTAAAATATCATTAGATAAAAATCTCACAAAAACAAGCGTGCATTCATACACGCCATTCACTAAGCTACGTCTGGATACTGAGCGAGCGAATGCCTGCAGATTTCTGTAGAAGGTCCAGAAACTGCTTTAAGATGAGTAATATTATTTTGGGTTGTTTTCCAAACAAGTGACTAGTAATCAACACAATAAACAGGAATAAGTCATAAATGAAACTGCGACAGTGAACAGTACAAACCATTACGGCTTTAACGGGTGATGACTAAGGTTAAAATAGATAGGTAGAGTTTATCGGAAGTCGTAAGGATTGAGGTAAAGAACTAATTGGGCGTGGCTTTCTTGGGTTGTTCATTCATCGACATCAATCTGTCGGGGATTGAAGTCAAGAGATACTTTCAATTTAGAGTGAATCCTTGCTGACTGCAGAATGAAGTACCATGAATGTTTTATTTTCAGCGTCAGTAAAGATATTTTAAAAATATCATACGATAGACTTGCTACAAACATACGAAATGACGGGGGTTATAAGGAAGCTGTATACTATACTAATACTAAATGACTGTGAAACTAGGTTGAAAATGAAACACAAACCTGATCATAAAGGCTCTAAAGAAGATAAAGTGGACGATGGTATGCAAGGGTTCCTTCACGCGATTCTTGACTGTGAAATATTCAACTTGACTGAAAAGGAATGCGCAATATCAATACTGTGACTTGTGTAAATAATAAGGGGAATCAAATCACATCTAAGATTTTGTGGATTTAAATACGATACTTGACATGACATGTGCCTGTCACGGAGTTTGATGAGAAATTGCGCAATCGCAGTAAGCACAAAAGACGCCTTTTGCGATTCGTTCCCCAAGAGATGGGGGCGGGGGGGCTAACGGAGTCAATTTTTAAGACTTCAGCTTCAAGCTTTCTGGTTTAAGAAAGGGTAGTGTTTGACTTGACACTGGTTATTATTTTACAAGACGAAACGTTTTCAATGCTTGAACTGCAACGGCTGTCTCATTTTGAGTCAGTTCGAAAACGAGGTATAGACAAGCTGATTCTCTCTTGGTATAGGGTTACACAAAGTATGCTTTTGTCTAATGTCAAAACAGATCAAAGCAGTTACTGGAGACACAATACTTCAACAGGGCGTCAAATTTTCAATCAGTTCAGCAACAGAGTAGCAAAAAGCTCCTACTTTGGTCTGAAATAAAGGGAAAAGTGGGAAAAGGTGCACGAATCCAACCAAATTCTTTGTGAGCCTGAGTTCCAGCACTTTATTTTGCTTCACTTTACATTTAATTTTCTGGCGACATATTCGTTATCCGCGTTGCAGAGCTCATTTTTTTTCTTATATAATTCGTGAACCGTGAGCACGGTTTATTTCATCCTAGATATTTCGAGAACGGACCTCTGGAGCCAGGGTACATTGTCATTATCGTGGCTTTTATCTCAAAGGTAGTTTATATCTGCTTCTGATCATGAGAGACATAATTGGTGATTTCTGCTCATGAGAAAAATAAAAGCTTCAGAAGTAGAATAAAAGAGGTCAAGCCGTGTATCGTTCACATAAATTATGAGCGTCTCTCTAATACGTTCACAAGTTCAGTAGCAAATTTCTTTGGGTTGAAGTAAAGTTTTAAAATGCGAAGGACGGAGATAAAAGTGAATATGAAAATACGTGGAATGAAGGAGTGAACTCTGATTTTTCCATTGCACATACATTTGGCAGAACTTTGATGAGTGGGTGACGCTGTCATTCGTGCGATACTTTTCCCTTCTGGAGTGACCTTTTAAAGGAGTTTAATCATTCTGAAGTTATACGATGAACACTAAACAGTTGCCTCATTTCGCTAACATTGTTTGTCAAGCAGTTTGTATCACTGAGATGCAGTATTTTCTCCATTTCTCTAAATAGCGCTCATAACTCGGATACTTTCACGTCCATGTTCCTCAAACTGAAAGTCGACATTGAAACTTCCATCGGAGAAATATTTCATCTTTTAGGGAACATTTGCTCAGAGAGCTTACGTTGACGACCGAACCGAAATGCGATGGGATATCAAGAACTAACAGATATATTTTTTGGTACCCGATTTCTCTCTCCCCAATTTTAAAAGGCTTCTAAACGGGCAATCAACAAGTTAGATTTGCAAGAAAGAGATTCTTTGGAAAAAACAAAAGTAAATAGTAAATCAAGGGTTGCCTGGAGTAAAAACCCCGAGTGAATTTAAGAAACTGCTAGTTTTTTCCTTACAATTTGCCTTTTACAAGCTTGTGAATCAAATTGTAAGAATTTGATATTAATCCTTTTAGTTGCAATACCCATAAGCAAAAATCCAGAATGATCTCCATACATTTCCATGACGAATTAGTGGAGAGTACAGGAATTTGATAAAAGATCAAAGCATTTTTCCCTGAGGTGATTATCTCATTAATTCTCATAACCTTTTCTCTTGATGATGTATTGATGTTGTGAGGAGAAAGTTGATGTTGGTCACTCTTGAGGCTTAAACTAAAGGGTTAAGTCAAGAGTTCAGGAGTCACTGGGGGCCTTATTCTACGCATGAATATTATTATTCTATAGTCTTTTTATATATGAAGGGACAGTTTCTCAATGATTAGAAACTGTGTAAAAACGCAACAGAAGTGTTTATGGTAAGATAAATACACTTAAAGTGGTCTCACTAAAAAATTCTATATTTTTAAGTACATTAAAATTTATTAAAAGTGTCCTTGGTTAAAAATGGGAAGGAAACATGTGGACTAATACTGCTGTAACATTTCATAAATTACTTGATAAAAGTAATATTGATATTCATAATTATATGTGCTTCAGTGGAGAAATAAATTATACAGAGAATAAAAAAAGTGTCAGGTTGAAGTTTTCAGAACCATCAATAATGGTGCCTTGGAGATGAACTAGTGAGTTAAAAACAGAAAAAATATAAATGTACTAGTGATATTTAAGTCTGGTGTATTGCATATGTGATACTTCCCTCTATTCCTGTGCAGTATACAATTTATTTTTCATTTTTGTTGATACCATTATCGGGGTGAGCTGAATGTTCAAATACATTTATTTTCAGTTCATGGGGCCACTATTCACTTACTAGCTCTTCTTTATTAATCAGCATGGGTTAAGGAAATTATTGCTTATCTTTATATAGTTGAACCTCTCCACAATGGCCACATTTGGGACAGATCAGAAGAAAGTGGCCATTGTAGAAAGGTGGCCGTTGTAGAGAGGTTTTAACAAGAGTCAATGCATGGATTGTCTGCCCCCCAAAAAAGTGGTCATTGTGAGAGATGGCTGTTAGTGGAGGTTGGGCTGTATACATAGAGGATATTACACGGTGGTGCGAAGATATGAATTTTATTTTCGAGTGGCAAAACAATATTTTACGAACAAGCGCAGCGAGTGAGTAAAATATTGTTTTTGCCACTCGAAAATAAAATTCATACCTTCAAGCCGCCATGTAAAGATAAAGATAAAGTCATGTGTGAAATTATGGAAAATAAACCACTTGGGTCCCGGATGTAGTTTTTATGAATTTTACGAGTGGTATATTTTCCAGTAAAACACTTGTGTCTATATAATAAATAATAATATTTACTGATAAGCAGGTAACAGGAAAATGGTAGTCATATCATAAATCCCAACATTTCCAGTATTTTTTAAGTAGGTAGTTATTTCATTTTAATTTAGTACTTTCAGAATTAGAATATGTGTTATTTTTTTTATAGAATTATATTGAGAACATGCAATATTATTTAAAAGAGTGGTGTATAGTAATTCAGTGTTCAGCTTATCAAAATTTAATGGTAATCATTACATTGGTAACCTTCATTAGTGTTCAGAATGTTAATTGTGTTGTATATTACCCGTTCCTTCTTAACATCAAATTCTAGTCGAAAAGTGTTCATAACTGTCCTGAAAAATGAAATTTTGTTTAAAAAGGTCAGATTTTTGGAGGGGATCATTAAGATGCTTCCACATCAGCACGTGACTGGAAAAGAACACTAGTCTTAATAGTATGTTTGCGTGTAATTAATAGACATCATTGTGCAGCCTTCAATAAAATCAACATTAACTTGCATTTCTTGTAGATTTGGTACAGTATTACTTTATTCATAAAAGTGAACGATTAAAATACAATTTACGAGATCAAACCAGTTATATATCAGTGGGCTAGGTAAAGAAAGGGTTTCTCTACCAGACAGAATATAAAAACATGAAAATGACTGTAAACTGTGGAAAACCTTTGAGAGCAGTCATTAACATGAAGTATGCTGAGCCCTAACTGTCTAACACATGAACCTGACATGGTTTGCGTAGGTGATTGTTTCCTTTTGTTTATTATTTTGTTGAACCCAGTGGATAAAGATCTGGTTTGCATTTCCAGACAGGAACATCCATTATCTGTTCCTCATTTTCTGTTAACTGTTTGTGAGAGCAAAAGGCACAAATTACAAATTACATCACAACAGATAAATATTTACTTCTAGGTCTCAAAGACTTGATTTGCCCTTAGGGTTAATTTCCAGTGTTGCGTAATTTTTATGTGCATAAAGTTGAACCTCGCTCATCTTCTTGGTTAAGCTGAGGGCACTTTTTATCTTGCTTCTATTTTATTTATGTGATTAAAATTTATGTGCGTTAACATGTGTAGCCAAAAGCGCATCATTGGAAATCAACCTTTTGTCGCCTTTTTTTTAAGTTGGGGAAGGGGAAGGCTCATTTCAAGGAGCTGTGTCATAAAATTTATTGAAATTCAAACAATCGTAACTGTCACCAACTTGAGTGAAACAAAATTAACCACCCAAAACATTAGAAAAAAGTATGAAAAGGCATGGGTGAACAAACTTGAAAAAGTTTTAAGCAGATGGTATTTGAAAACTTGTTGGACTACTGGCTAACAGTTTTTCAAAGGTCGTTTTTGTTGTTTGTAACATTTTCATTTATTTTAATGCTTGTTAGACACATTTGTTTGACATGAAGCTGTGATTTAGTCATTTGCAAGTAATAACTTTGCAAGCATTATGCTCCATAGACATTTAACTGGTAACATATATCAACAATATGAACTACACAGCTTTGACACGAGAGACATTTAAAGGGGGAATGCCTAAAAGAATTGGTCAAAGAGGGGCAAATTCATGGTAAAAACATTGTGGTAATGAACATCTATACTTATTTGGTTTAGACGTACGGTAAGGTCATATTAATATTAATGTATTGAAATAAAATAATTAATATGTAGATACCTTCTCAGTAATAATGTATTCCCCATGCTGTTCAATTCCAAAGTCAAAGACATACCTGCCTGGTCCACATGGCTAGTATGTGGAAATTAAAAATATTTAGTTCTAACAAATTATGATGTAAATTATCTATGCAAGGTCATAAAACTCCCTCAAGTGGCTATATTGGAAGACCTGATTTCAGCATTAGCAGGACAATATGGAGCTTCAGCAACAACAATGGTAAAAAAGTATTAATGCGGTTAGATTGGCAAAACAACAACTTTGCAGGTGCATCACGTTTTTTTGTACATTTCTTAGCTGTCATTGCATGACTACAACTTGATAGTGCCTAATTTCACATTTTGTTGAGGACGGGAACACAACAACAACTTTCTTTTCTTTTCCTGAACTTTGATACTATCCTTTAGAATTCTATCAACTCCAAAAAAAATTGATGAAATGGAATAAGTGCGAAAAATTCTAAGGCAGAGCAATTTCCCTTTTTAAGTGATGTCTTTGTAGCCACTGCTGTTGTTGTTGCTTCAGCTCCCTAATGTAATAGAAAACTCTATTTGATAGTACAATAATAAATTATGTAGTTGGACTGTATGCATGCACTTGTGCATACTGGGATAGCTGCATGCACTCTGATATTGTTTTTTTTCCACACTTAGGAATAGCAAACACTCTGGAGATCTAATTGTGTTTTCATTAAATATAAGTTGAAATTGTCACATATCTCATCTTGGTTTGGTTATGATTTAAACATTATTACTACACAAAGTTGTGTAATCCAAATTCTGTCTATATATAATCATATATATTATACTGTCATTAAAGTAATATGTGGTTGTCTGACTTTTTTTACCGCTTGTGTGGGCTACAGACCAAAATGGAGTACACTCCAATGATCATAATTTGACTTGATTACACTCCCATTTTTTTATTGCTGTGATGAAGACCATGTTCTTAAGGTGGCACAAGACATTAGAATTGGGGAAAACACTGCATTTTGTTTGAAAAAGTTTAGGGGGACTTTGTGGGGAAAAGTCCCTTTTCCACTTTCCTCCTCCTCCCCCCCCCCCCCTTGTTATGTTACACGTAACTTGTTTTATTCCTGTCATTTCCACCCAAACCAGTGGATCCCTGTCCACACAAATTTCATAAGAATTAATACTTACTAAACTGTCGTAAAATGTTCCCAGATAAACATGGTTTGGTAGGATCATGTTAACAGGTCCAGATAGTCTTCCATTCATCCAGCTTCCATCATACTTAAACCAATAAGGACATAAACATAACATGTTCAAGTCTGCATGCAGAAGCCATGGATATTTCTAATAATTATTATTTTATTATTTTGTTTTTGTTTTTTTTTAGCCCAAAGTGTGTTAAAACTGTGAAATCCTCTTCCAAACTGCCTTGTATTTATTTAGCTTGTGAATCAAAAGGAGTACAACAAAAGTCACCTTAGGGCCTCAGGGACTCCAACTATTATTTGGAAAGCATGGACAATCTATGAGCCCATAGCATGTTTTGCAGATTGTCACACAATGTTTGCAATTATTCCTATTTTTTACACAGCCTTAATAATGCTGCTCTAGATCAATAAATAATTTATTTATCATGTTGAATTTAAAAAAAAATGGAACTTTCATGAGGATGTTTGTGGTGAAGTAATAGAGATATGGGGCCTGCAACTTAAGGGCTCATATATACAGGAAAGTTCATTTTTTCTGGTTTGCAATGAATCCTTATGAAACTTTGCAGTTTCGACTAACCTCTGCATGAAAAAACGATCTGTTTTGGTGGTTATTTTATTACAAAAATTTCAGTTTTGCGTGACTTCTGCAAAACACTGGTTATTGTCGCTCACTTCCATCTGAGGAATGCTTGGTGGTGGATTAGGCTTCTGTACTTCACAGGAAGCCCATGTTTAGCAATGTTAAAAGACAAAATTATAGGGTCTCAACAAACCTTGAGTTTGGTGGCAGCACATGTGTAAACACCCTTTCCTTGTCTCTTGTTGTCTTTCCATTCTCCCTCATACACATCACCATTTATGTAAAGGTACATGCCTTGACCATTACGTTCGTTATCTTCCCAGTTGCCTGTGGAGATGATACTAAAATTTACAATAGCTGAACTATTAAGTAATTATTACCACTTTTGATGTTAATGACTGGGAAAGCTGGAGAGCTGCAAGGAGACCTGGCTGAAATCAGAGGTACACTTCCTCAAACAACTATCAGATGCTAACAAGCAGAAAACCTTTTTAGTTTTTTAGTCTATTGCCTTATATTTCATTTTCAGAAGATTTGCTATGTTCAGAAATGTTGGTATTCTTGGTTAGATCACTAGAGTTTTTAGCTCTTTTTACAAAGGTACTTCTTTAGAAACTTTAGTTTTGTTGAAATGGGGATATAACCTTAGGATATTCCCTATATAGCTAACTACCGGTAATTATTGTTTTTCTTAATATTTTGGGTTAAAATGAAGACAAGGTATGACTGGCCTAGCTTAATTTTGCTTTATGCTAGGTCCCTTTGTAACCCAGGCCTCAAACTATAGATGTATTCTCCAGCCAGTGCTCATTTTAAAATTCACTGTTTTAGTTGAAAATGAAATAAATAAAAGATCATAAAATGATTATTCAACTGCTAGCAATTTTCTTTCAGTTTGACACATAATGTTATAAGAGGACAGTCTCTGCTATTCCTACTAAGTGAAACTGCATGCAATTTTTAAAGGCTTTCAAACAAAAATAGCCAAAAAAACAGGCACTTTGACAGGCCAAGCACTAAGCCAAGCTCTTATACAAAGCATCTATCTCAGTGAGTTTAAGTACATACACTGGCTTTTCGTATCTTAGTTGAAAACTTAAAAGAAAATAACTGTACATACCTTCATATCTAGATCCATCAGGGTACTCAAATGTTCCATGGCCAGTCTTTTTTCCCTCATCATAAAAACCCTTGTATTTGGCTCCATTTCGAAATATATATGTTCCCTGTAAACAAGAGTACCTTGTATGATTTTATCATTAGCCAGAGCTTGGTACATTTTATACCCTGCTAAGTGCATTTTTAGGGGAGATGTAAACCTCAAAGGGACTTATCCCATTGTACTAGTCACCATCAACAACCCACCCCATCTCTAATGTGGATCTAGTGTGGCTTTATATATGAAAATACTGTCAAAAATGCAACTCAGATTTGAAAAATATAAGATGTGGCACTGACAAAATTTGGGATTAAATGTTAGCCTGTACCTCATACTAGATCATGCATGCAGGATGGTATGAGGCTGGCCATTATTTATGGAGATGGTCGCAGCGAAAATGTATTGCATGATAAAAATTTCTGCAAGGATTCCCCGTCCCCATGCCCCATCAGTTCTAAATAGTGGTTACCCTCTTTCCATTCATAACCTAAATTTGACCCCCCAGAAAAAATTGTAGGCATCTGTTATGTAGTTTTGTGTTCACATTATTTTGGGTGCATGAAGTGGACTTAGGCCAATGCCTACTGTACAGTGGATGGTACCAAATTCTACGCAGTTACCATGGGTGATAGCAGGCTGTGTTAGGTGGAGATGGGTGGGTATTGGTCTTCTACTTCATCACTTTCAAATGGCCACAGAATTTAAGAAAATCATTACATTCAGGTTTGAAACAAATTATTTTTTACACAAACAGAAATAATTTACAAGGCATCGAACAAAACCACCCCTGTCGTTGATTTCCTTCACCCCTCTCCATATATAAATAAACACTGGTCCCAAGCTACTGCACTAAAAATAATTCGGCTTAAATATTTAGGAAGGTTATCTAGTTAATTTTCGGTAAAGCAATATCCTTAAGCGAGAATCAAGCCAACCGCTAAAGGCCAATTCTAATAAAAAGGTATCCTGTTGATAGCCTATGAAATGTCTGTTTCTGTTACAAGTAAACTTACTAAAGTAAAAAGTCTATCGAAATATTAACCTTCCCATGTCGTTTTCCATTAACATAATTTCCTTCGTAAATATCACCATTCGGTAGAACAGCTTTTCCATATCCATGCCTTTCTCCGAGTTCGTTTCTCTCTCCTTCGTATTCCTGTTTTTAAACAAAGGTCACAGATCTTAAGTTTAATTAAGTTTAGGTAAGACTTTACGAGAGTTCTTGTCAATTAATAACCCAACCTGTTTTTTCGATTTGTTGGTTTGCTTTTACACAAGCGTTAAGCTTTCCATTCAGCTGGTTTTATTTTGTGCATTGAACATTTCCACTGGGCGGGAAACCATCTATAGTGGAAAATCTTAACAATGCTGTCATTTATAAGTAAAGCCAGCCAATATACTTCAAGCATAACTTTTACTTCACTAAGTGGTCGGCAAGTAGTGAAAGCTTGTTTCGCAATAAACGCCAACTAGCTAGAGAAGGAAAATGGCTTGCTTACCCCCAAATCACTGGTCCAATCCAAATCTTCCGAACCAGCGCCAAATAAATCTGACATGATTGTAACCAAAGGCGGCTGAAGAAATCTTATTTTCAGTTTCCCCCTTTGTAGCCAAACCGTTTAACACAAAGACGGATCTTGCGTGTGCTTCGCAAAAATCCCGGATGTGAGTTAGTATCACACACTTACGGCGTTATTACTTAGATTTACAGAAGTAATGAATATTAAAATTAGAGGTACAATTAAAAATAGAGAACGCGAATTCCCGTTTAGATCTGATTGAAATCCATATGGACCACTCCAGAAAATACCATAACAGTTTAGTCATAATACTGTTTGTTGGTCACTCTGCCAAAATTTTGCATAAGCACTGTTTTTCAGTTTCTCTTGGGGCCATTTAACTCCCAAGAGAAACTGAAAAACAGTGCTTATGCAAAATTTTGGCAGAGTGACCAACAAACAGTATTACGGTATGTTATTGTATTTTCTGGAGTGGTCAATAGCAGAACTTGATTACTTTGGCTGAAACCCGACTTTGAATTTTGCGCGCGATAAAGAAATCAAATTCCAAAATCTGGAGTTTCCAAAGCGCTGGTAAATGGAATCTACTAGGCTATGGTTAATAACACGTGGCCGAAAGTTATGAAATAGGGGTCATGTAGCAGCTTGCCCCTGACTTTGTCGCCAACTCACTTACTTTGTCAAATGTTGGTGAACTTTCCTGAAATAGAATTCCTATAAACAACCACATATATCCAAGTTCAGATAGAGAGAGAAAATTTTGTGGTCGCTTGTTCACGTCCTCCATAAAACATAATATTATTAGGCAGCTTCACGTCGTAGTCATGTAGTTGCAAACAGCAAGTGGTAACGTTGCGAGTATGCGCGAGCCGCTGGACGGAAGTTTGTGGTGGTATTGGATCGCAGCGAATGCAGCAAAGAAAAATGGCGCCTCTTTTAAAAATTACCATTGTCTTAGTCATCTGTTCTATCTTTGTGGAGTGCAGATCAGACAAAGTCTTCTTTGTAATATGCGAGATTGGTCTCAAGGCTAATAAGTCGCAGATCATTCACAATTTTGCGCGGTTTGTGGTCCATGAGTGATTATTGTTTCGTGTTTTGGCTTGCGCACGAACACGTCGAAAGGGGGTTCTGTGTAACAGCTGCAAAACTGCTCTATTAAACACTGGATTACTGGGAAAAAATCTCTTCATGTAAGTTGTGACCGAGTACAAAACGTCCGACGCTTACGATTTGAATAAAACGCTGTGAAAAAAAATTCTAAATGCTAGTCTGTTTATATAGTCATAACTGCAGTTAATGTTCTTGCGACAATCTCCTTGCAATAATACGATTTCACGTCAGTTATGGTTCAGGAATGCCCTGTTTTTCAGAGATGTGCAACCTTAGTGTAGTGATTCTGCCAGTGATTACTTTTCAGAGAAACCCCATCCTAACCACCAGTGGCCAAAGCAGGTGCAGTGCCCTAATTCTGCGACTGATAAAATTTCAACGATATCCCACCCAGGGCTATGAAATTGTATGTTTCCTTTTTTGACTAGATGATATAAGACTAAACACCCAAACTCTAGAAATGACATCTATTAAATCTATGTGATGCCTTAACTTATTCAGGGGTGTAGGCACAATTTTGTAATATGGAGGCTCTTGACTCCAAGATGCCCCTTATACTTCTAAAATAAAGAATTAGATGAGCCAAAACAGGAGTGTGGTACAAGATGTTTCATATTACAGATGTGTTTTATTAAGGTAACCCTAACCATGAAAAATCCTTCCCTTTACTCCCCACACTTCTACATACTAGAAAATTGCAAATATACACACAAAAGTGAAAATACTTAAAATAGTAAAGATCATAGTCATATCTAAAACTGCATTTTCTCTCTTAGATATTGAAGTGAATTTTCTGCTTCTGTTTTTTCCATGCTTGCACTCATTTTTGCTTTTCGTAAATTTTGCTGTTGGTATTTTCTACTGCACATGTGTTAATTATTTAAGATATAACTAATAAGGCCTAGCTCCCTTGACTAGCCCATATCTGTTTGCGGCCAAGTTCTTATGATTTGAAGATTAAAAAATTGAAATTGAGAGAAAATTAGCTCTAAATTTTCCTTTTCATTCAATTTCAACATGACGAGAACTTAAAGATCTTAAAGCCTGATATTTATAAAGTATCAGTTTATGGTAGCCTCAAGTAGCCAATGTATGACTCATTAAAATTAAAGCTTGTCTGTGTGTCTTCTGGGGCACCAAGGCTATTTGATGCAGTTCACGATGGAGTGACAGACCCTTCACATTCTGCAGACAGCATAGGGTTAAATAAAAAACAGATAGTCGCCATTTTGTAACAGCTCTGCTATGGCTTGAGTGAAAAGTGCAACTGGTTTAAATGTGACGATGCAGTTGTCCTCAATGACTATCACCTGAATCAACAAGGTTTAGTGCTGAGCATCTCATAGGGAGCTCCTGCAACAGGCAAAAGGCAAATGAAATTTTTCATAACTTGTCATCTTGCGACACCAGGAGCATCAACGAGCTTGTTTCAGGGGCAATTTTACATAAATCGCAACTTGTGCAGCCTATGATATGTGACTATATACCAGTACACTACTACAGTGTATCCACAGCCAAACCGACATTGGCAAGCCAAGTGCTCCTAAATTCATGAGCACAAACTCTGAATGAGACCCAGAGTATCAAAAGATCTATTTCTATCGGAGAGTGAAAAGCTACCCCTGTGGCATTTAGTTGTTGCCCACAACTAGCGATACTCTTTAGATATTCAGGATTTCTAAAGTGTCATGGATAAGAATTTATATTCAAGAAGGATAGAAATCTTTTGGATAGAAAAGGAATAATAACATTTATGATTTTTGTAAGCGAACAAATACATGGTATGCGATGAAGCTAATTCTTATGTGGATGCCAATGTAAGGAATCAAATACAGGGATTTCATGTCCAGTGTTGTCTGTACTTCAAACAGGAATGGCAGTCCAGCAAGTGCAAAGGTGGTTAAGGGCAAGACTTGTTTTGCGCTTGAACTTGTGCTAATGTCAAAGTGGGAGTAATATTGTAATGGTCATATGAAAATGCATTAAATCACACTTATGAAATCACTTTTATAGTAGGGCAGGGAAAAGAATGCACATATGTGTATTTTCATATTTTATATTGATTTCTGTTATGTTTCAAGACATTATGTAAACATGTTAAGCATAACATTAAAATTCTTTTAGGCGCCAATTTTGTATGTAAAAACAAATCATCATTGAATAATTATCAGAATAAAATCATCTCCCAAATGGTGAGGGTTCTTGTCAGTGAATCTGAGAGCTTACAGTGCATGATTATTAAAACGCAAATTCATCAGTGTTCCCCCCCTTGGATGCAAAATCAAACATTCAAGAATGAAAGAGTGTTCCGAAACAATGCTCTTACAAATAAGTTTTGTTGGGATATACTTTTACATGTTAACGAAAAATCTAAAAACAAGGTTGAAAAGGACAAGAAAAATTTGTCCATCTTTAACGAAGGTTTAGCAAATAATATTTCACAATCTACCGTCTCGATCTCTTAATCTCTGAGAATAAGTAATCGCCATAGAGCACCAATGTAAACCAGAAAAGCAAATTTTCGAAAATGGAAGGAAACATCCGACTATGGCCTTACTTGTAAGAGTAGGAAATTTGCTTGTTGATTTCATGCCGCTAAATAGTATCAAAATACTCGAACTTCCCCCCTTTGAATTAACCATTAAAAGTGAAAATACGGCGTGACCCAAAGAGAAGTTTAACCTGTTTAGTCGCTTGCGTGGGATATATAACTGGATCTCGTTGTACGGTCAGGGTCAAATACTACAAAAATACCAGGGTCACATAAATTACGTTGAATTCAGGCTGCTATAATTTTAACACATAACATTCGATGATGCTGCTCCACATTTCACAAAGTAAATCAAGGGGTATATCTTACCTAAATGTTAGGCAGCTCTGCAGATCGCGGACGATAACCCAAAAATCCGTGACCGCTTGAATGTCAACAAATCAACAGATCACAACAAACGACCTCGTGAACGCTTGATCTGCTTCATCAGAGGAGCCAAATGGACGAAAATTAACCAGCTAAATGGTCCTTCTCCCATACATAACACTTCAACATGGCTTAGCCAAAGTATCCAATCTATAAGAAATGTCTGTTGTTGATTGGATATGCAAAAAAATCTCCCTTGAAAGTGCTTCAGAACAGCTTTCGGCTACTACGATTTCCCGTCAACAAAGTCCTTCCCAGCAAACTTGACGCATGCGCAAACGTTACCACTTGCTGTTGTAGTTGCAATGATGGCAAAGAAATGTACAAAAAGGCGTGATTTGCACGTGTAAATTTGGTGTTTTGCCGTATATTTTAAAAACCTATTATACACGCGCGCGCGTGTTTTGACGTGAAAATCGTGGACGACGTTCTTCTCTGGTTTTTTTTTTGACATCCGTACATAAAAAGACAAGCTAAGCACTTCTATTTAGACAGAGCACTTGGTGGAGCATTTTTTCATTTCAGTCTAAAAGGTTTTTTTGTTGTTTATAGCCATGTCACTTTGACAAATGAGACACTATGCAGTAAAAACCGGTTGGTTTCACTCATAAAGAACGCTCAAATCAACGTTGTTGCTCTTAAGGGTGTTGCGCTGTATTGATCGTAATAAAAAGACAAAAAATTGCAAAAGGTAAGCAAGGTACTTCACGGTCAAGATTGTCATTTCCACTGTTCGGAGTTAAGATATCATCGATACGCTGTTAACTGAAGCTTCCATAACTCCTGAAATAACGGCAATTATAGCTTCTCACAAGGCCAAAGTAAACTAAACGATACGGAACAATGAAAAAGAAAGCCATTTTCACAGTGTTTTGCAGTAACACCCCCAGCTGGCTATTTTCCTTCGCGTTCAAATATTGAGGCATTTCCCATGCTACTCGAAGTACTTCACCCTATGTCAAGAGCAGCGGATGAGCCGTTGTGCTGCGTCGAAAAAGGTACGGGTTGTTTATGTTTAATAGTAGTGGTCTGGCAAAGGTGTTTTCCCACTTCGCTGCTTCTTCCTTTACTTTACTCAGGCTTTTTTTTTTTTTCGTGATCTTCACGCAAAAATACAAACTGTTTGGTATGCCATAGTCTAGGCCCAAGGGTAGGCCAGAAAGGGGCAAGCCCATGCCGCGTCAACTCGCTATCGCATAGGACACCAAGTTGTGCACAGGGAGACCATCTTGGGTTAATTAGGTATGCAGCCCCTGAGGAGACAGCAATACTACTAATATCGCGTTCGTCTATGCATTCAAGTTTAAAATATACGGCTCATTTTCTTGTCATTTGTGAACCACCTTTTAGATGAAGTTAGTTTGTTATACCAATTTCGTTGATGAAAATCAAAAACAGTGTGGGTCCCAAAGCCGTACCTTGCGACACAACAGAAATGACGAGCATCCAATATAAACCAATCCGCGATGACAACGCGTTGAGGAAGATTCGTGAGGAACGATTTTAACAAAGAGAGAACGTGACCAGAGATACCATATGGCTAGGTGTTGTGATGGGAACTGACCCAAAAGCCCGGTTTCCTCTCACAAGACGGAAAAACTACTTTATCTAGCGAGGTCATTTGTCTCATTTGGAATACGCAGGCAAGCACTAACTGAAGGCACTGTTTTACGTTTAGCGAAGGCCTGGTCGATGACTGGGTGAAAGGAGTAACTTCGTTTCTCAGTTATAAAATTACGCTGAGTATCGGTCTGGCCTCAGGAACTGAGCGCGCGACTTACCGTTTTTACCCCGCCTGCAGACTCTGCCGCATTAAAAAAAGGTTTTGTCTCTACTCGATGTCTTTTGTTGACTGTTATCGGGGATCATTCGTGAGTTTACGCAATAGGACGGCAGACTGAAGAGGACGGCAAAACGCTTGTCTGTGACAAACATGACAGGGCCATTACTTGCGTGTTATGTCGTGATCCTCACAAAACATTAATGTTTTCTGGTCTTTTGCAAAAAAAACATCTATTTAAAGGAAAGTGAAGTCTGGCGTAAAGTTATTTCAAACAAAATTATTGTCACGCTTGTCACACAAGGTTTGCCGTCTTCTTTCCTCTCCCGTACTGTTGCGTAAGTTCACTATTTATGGTTTACGACGGAAAAACTACATATAATCGTCTGTCATCGTGTAGTCTGTTTTGATGACGGCGCAAGGAGATGTGAGCAGGAAAAACAGCGTGACGTCACACCGCACTCCCCTAACTGAACGCCTGAAACATACAGGCTAGTGATGATGGTACGAAAATCAATCAAAGTGATGGCAGCAATACGAGATTCTGGTCAGCGGCATGTGGACCGATGCATGAGGGCCAGGCGGGTGCCAAATTGTATCTGTACAGAGGTTATCACAAACACAAGAAGAAACTCGGCTAAAATTGCAAGTTAATCATTTATTTTAGTATGTAAAAAACAAAAAGTAAGAGAGCTCCACGACATCTGCTTACCGCAGAGTTCGCCTGACACGTCTAACATGTATGAAACTTGATATTAAATCCGTACAGCCGGCACTGAATGTATTTTAAACAGTTCGTCACTTCAGCTGTATAGCACTTTAGTTTTTACAAGCACTTAGTTAAAAACGTTATAAAACTAGAAAAATACTTATTAATCTATGACACACTGTATCTTGGTTCAAAGGAGGTTCGCTCAAAGCCTGAGACTATCAGAGGGTATTTCCGACCAATAAAAGTTGTGACGATCCCTATTGAAGAAACAAAGATCTTGGAGATCGTCGCTCGTAGTCGCTCAAGATCGCTGGTAGCCCTATTACGCTAAAAAATACAGTCTACGACTAGATATGCATACTTATATCTACGATGGCTTTTAATGTGTTGAACAAAAATGCTGCTTTCAAAACTGGTTTCTGTGGCCAGTGAACCAAACGAGTGTTGTCCAGAACAATCTTTTTTGTCCATGAATCCTTAACGCTGTTTTGCTGCAGTGTTGTCAATGGATGAAAACGCAGGTTTTTGAAAACGATTATGTCAGAGTGATGTATACCAGTAAATGCGCGTGCTCCAATCAAATATGGTACCGTTTCTATTGTTACGTTATAACATTGACGCCTTATCTGCGTTCTGATTAGCAATGCGAGATTAATTTTCTGATTGGTCTTTTTGTTTATTTTTCCCTGTTTCTTGCTAAGGGCCTTTTTACATGGAGGTGGAGGACCCGAGATAGGTGCGGCAACATGTAGCTAATGCGATATTGTTACTGTCGCAAATAAAGAGTAGCTAACGTTAACGTTACTCGATGCTGTCAAACACAATTACGGAGAAAGAAAAAGGATCGGGAAACAGAAAGTGGCAAAATTATTCGAAATCCAGTAATCGCACAACGAAAGAAAAAACAACCTATTAACTTGTTCAACTGAGTCCTTGTTTCTTGGGAAGCCATCTTTGCAGAAGTGACATACGATTCTTAGTCGTTTCCGAGTTTTCTTTTGTTTTTGCGAAGTGCACCAGTCATATTTGCACGGGGGGGGGTCCAGGATTTTTTCATGGGGGGTGGCTGATAAAAATCGACCACCAAACTAATCTCGAAACTATTCGTTAATTTATTTTAAATTGTCCTACGTTTGTCCCAAAACATGGCGATTTGGAGACTGTAACATTGTAAACTCTTGAAACGCCACAAAAGATGAGATTTGGATCATATTAAATATTCCTGTTTAACTTGCACAGTAATTTACATGATAATACAGCACGAGCATCTTCTTCTCCCCCTTTCATCGTCCTACAAAACAAATACACGCACAAGATCATACTCAACGTAATAAACTAAAGTCCAATTAGGAAATCCTCCGATAAGAGGCCTTAAAGCTGAAGTATTTCCAGCCTTTCCTATTTGCTGATTGGCTTCCCAATCAGCAAGTTTAAAGACGCACTCTGCTATGCCAGAGAGAATTTGTCATTAACATTTTATATCTGAGCTCTGGGACATAAACATTATGTACTATTATATGGAAGGATTCAGCTACAGCATTTCAGTATTTTAGAAGAAGGAATTCAGTCTTAAGTCTACCATAAACTCGAAAATCACAAAACAATAATAAACACCATTTTACTTCCTTTGCACGGGTTAGGTTCTTATTTCAAAAACATTTAACCTAATTATTAACCACCAACTCACAAATCCTCCGCAATGGAGGCCTTATAAACAAAGACTGCTGAAAGTATAACGGACGGACAAAAAAAAAATGAACTCTTCACATTAACTCTAGAAGTCTTTACCTTTAGAACTTTTTGCATGTTTTGAATGCAAAACATTGACAATATTCTAGACCGCGAGCAGTCAATCTCAGTTACTTCAGATTTAGTGAGGGCGTGTACCGCCACCGA